GATGAGCGAGCGAGTCCCGGACGCTACACTTGACATTCCAAAATGGGGGATAATAAAAGGCGCACGAAGTTACGGGACGGCCGTCTTTTATTTTCCGTGTGGCCACAATAACCTAATATATAACGCGCGTAATGGATCGTTGGCGGGGAAAAATTTCTACTTTAATCGTCGTTCGTATTCCTTTTGTGCACGGCAGTCCGAAAACTCGGCGGACGGCGGCGTTACGACTTTGACATGCCACGGGCTCAAAGGAAGGAGGCCCGCTTGCGGTAATTAATTTGTTGTTAAGTCGAGCCCCGAATTCTTATTTCTCGAGTGAGAGGGCTGGTTTTATCGCGCGCGTGCAAAAGGAGAGGCATGCGAACAATTTTGTGGACTGTCGTCGGAGAAAGCCGTCGTGGTGAGCAATTACAATGGGCCTTTTACGTGATTTACATTTGTGCTGTTGCTCGAATACATTAAAGCTATGCTGACCGAGCGAATGTATGCCGCTGTATCCCACTGCAGTCTCACTCTTTATCGAATATTTTGTCTCGGAAGATTGTAAAGGCGTGTGTACTCCTTGCAAAAGGTACCTGCATACAATTGGAATCACTGTTTTACTCCCTTGTTTTTTGCTTTCAAAATGTTCTAATACGATATTAACAACGGGCGCGTACGTTGCCCGATTTTCCGAGTAAAATTCGATGTGCAATTGGTAAAGTAACGCCGATTAAAAGATGCCGGCAGTTTACTTAGGCAGCAGCCAAGTAGTTAAAGACTTATCACATCGCTCGACTATTTTTCTAAAGTTTATTCGCACGTAATGCTCGGGACAAAATCGTTTAGAAATGCCGCAAGTTCGAGCGAGTTGAAAAGATAATAGGTATTTAAAAATTCTCCAACTTCATATTATAAAGCCAATATAATCTTAAATTATAAATTACGTCTAAGATAAGATTGAATTTGCCGGCCACTTACGACAATTACACGACAATTTTTTTTTTTTAAACTCGTTCGAATGATTTTTTAAGCCTACGGAATAGAGGAGGAACGAGGGGGCCACTCGTACAAATATATACTGCTTTCAAAACCTTTAATGTGCCTAATAGAATCGTACTGTGAATTTGGTTTAAGGCTGACGTTTTAACACCCGAACCCCCTCCAATAAACGCGTGAAATCGTATAAAAGATTACACACGATTCGTATCCGAGTACCTGCTTTTCCTTAAGCATATAAATAGCTA